ACGGCGGCGGAGGCGGTAAACGGCGACGACGACACTAGACGAGATGGAGGAGCGATGATAGCAAAGCTATGGAAACGGGAAAACTGAAAAACCGGAGCGGCGACAGCACCGGTAACGATCGATGAAAGCAACGATGACGCACGGTATGCGGGAAGGAATCTCGCGATCCGCCAACCAGCCGCGCTGCCAACCGATCGGTTGCTTCACCTCTGCGGGAATTTCTACCGCGACGCGTCCGCGACTCCGCGCTACTCGCCGGTAGATCGTCGACTGACTCGCGTAGTCGCTAAGTCGCGTAGTGCGTAGCGATAGCGGCCTATAGCCGTATAGCGGCGGTAGTCGGCGCGATGGTGGGGGTGGGCGGCCGATAATGGCGGACTACCGCCGCGCGCTCCTTCGCATTCTTCGCAAAGCAACGCGAAGCAACGCGAAACACGATTCGAAGGAAAAGCCGAGCCCAAATTAAAAGTCGACACCGTGATTATCTCTTAATTTTCTCCCTTACTCACTTGACGCATCTTCAAAGTTTGACGTACAAATTTTAACGAGCGAGAACATATTTCTATTATAATAAAGCTTCGAAGCGACGAAAGTTTCGATTTCTCTCTGATTCAGAAAGAATTAAGAGAACCGAATAAAGATATCACGAGATTTAATTTACTCGGACAAATATGATTTTTCTCCTAAACCTTTCCTCTCGATAATTATTCGTTACAATTAATCATTTACTTGGATGCTTAACGTATACGTATATAGTTGTAACATAGGTGAGATTTATGCGAAACGATTACTATTGTACATTAAACTTAAGTGCCCGCATATAAAACTATGAAATGATATTCATATCTTGTTACTTGCGAACATTTGTTTCGCAAGCCAAGGATTATCATGTTCAAATTGTATACTTTCAAGTCATTTTCGTTCGGTGTTGCTTATAAATTTTACATATTGCGTTGCTAACGTTACAAGTATCGTTTAAACGTTACTTACAATTTTCATCTAGCGGAAACTCACGGAAAATCACGAGTTATGTACCTGATCTTTTCTCACAAATTACAAGTCCGCGTGTTTTAACATCTATAAGATAATCTCTGCCAATATGACTTTCAATATAGTCAAAATTCAATCGTTTCTTCATCAAAGTGGTCTTACTTTCTTCGCTCTCTTCCATTCGATTCGTTACGCGCACACGAGAGATGTCACGACAGCCATCGTGTCGGGAATCACGCCGAATAATGTACTCAAGGACTTTATCAACGGTTGCGATACGAAATCGACAACGATGGGTTTCCCTGTCGAATCGAATTTCCGACGAATCAATTGTTAGCTGAATTCACCGCGCTAGTGCCGTAAGGTGACGCGTTATTATAATTGTCGTTCGTTCAAACGTTTTCCGCCAAGAGAGTCGTGGCAGTTATGGCGTCGTTCGTCGATATACAAAGTGCCTGCGTGCGCGCGCCGCTCCGCATGTCGGGCGTAAACACGAGATTTACTACTGGCGCGTTCGACCCAAGCCCCCAAGCGACCGTGTCCGACTTTGGCGTCACTTTGCTCTGCTTTGCTCGTCACCTTGGCACACGTCCAAATCGACACGAAAGGTACGTCTGATTAAATAAGAAAATTCTTATATTTCGTCAAAGTGAATCTTAATGCTTGAATATTTGTGTAAATTTATATACCTACGTATACTGTATCTGATTCTGTAAATTGCGCGCCGAAACCTTTTTCGATTTTTTCGAAACGCAGTCATGAGAAGAATCAGAATAATAATATCATTTTATTAAACTAACAAGCAATTTAATAACTGTTGGTGTCAATAAGCATATATCTCTATAGGAATATTAATAATCAGATGTTAATGTGAGTAAAATGTAGAAATTTTAATAATCTATGCTGAAAATGTAAATTTTATTAAGTACTTTCTACGTTATTCTAGGCTTTTTCTAATTTTGAAAAGAAAGAGAATGACGATAGTATATTGTACATTAAATTTTCACGAATAATAATTTTGCTATGCATTTACGTTTTTTCTGATTACAGGTATCCTATTTCGTGTTTTTATAATTATTTTAAATACTTGTCTAAACGCTTGCTCTAAGGCAAATTTAAATTAAAATGTTGTATTCTGTAAAATGGAAATAATTGCGCGCAAAAATTTTATCATATATAACTTAGTTATGATGACAATATTTCGCTTTAATAAACAATTACTTATTATGTATGTCTCACCTACATTATCTTGAATTAAGATGAGATTAAAAAGTATGAGAACATTAACTGTTTTAAAGAAAAAATTTATTGTATATAAATCAAGTAGTAATTATATATTTTTTAATGAAGTTTACAAATTTGTAACATAGATTTATCGGAAAGATACATGTCCTAAAAAATCGCTATTGCATATTTGTGTATAATACATCGATTGCCGTTCAAAGATGAAACGAAATAATAATCCCTATTTTGTCTTGAGTGTGTAGATTTTTGTGTAAAAACGAAAAAGTCGTCTGTCTCGTATGTGCTAAAAATTCGTTTGGACATATCTTATAGTATTTATCGCACGTAATAATTATATTTATCGCATACATGTAATAACTAATACATGTACAAATTACACAATACATCGCGTCATATCCTATCAAATAGAAAACATTGATTAATCGATAATTATATTTAAAAACTAAAGTAAATGTTATGAGAGTGAAAATATGAATATTAAATACACATTGAAATGATATATATTAAGAATTTTTTTTCACTCTTGTAAAAAAGAAATATTTGCATTGATCAATATTGCGCAATATAATATTTTTTATGCAAGACATATGAGCAAATCTTTAATTAAATCGTCATCTCTGAAAAAGGACTTGAATGTATCTCTAGTTGTTATTTTTTTATATAATCTTCTTGCTTTGATAAAACAATTATCAGGCGTCATATAAATTTAAATCGTGAATAAGCAATACGAGTTAAATGAATTTAATAAGATTTAAAAGATAGAAACGTACTCTTCTCTGACGCCGGTTGCGCGTGTGTGTTTTATTCAATTATTAATTGCCCGATATTTATAATTATTTATCTTCTCTGTCCGTAACTCTTGTATAGCTTAAGAAAAATGTGTAGCAACCACGTTAGCGAATTTATGTAATCCCAAAAAATCGATCTTTACTCAACCGTGACCGATTTTGCCAAGTTTCTCGGACAATCGACGTTACAACCACGCAAAACCGCTATGTGAAAAGACAATAACTGCATGGGAATGACGGTGAGAATTCCTTGCAGGCAATCGACGGTTTTAGGTATCTCGAGAGCTCTATCGGCAAAAGCTTTCGTTTCCTCATCCCCTTCCTCGCAGATAACAATGGGCTTACCGTCCCGCGCGGTAACTTGTTGAAGTGCATTCATGCATTTCTATAAAATAAATTATTGAATTGAGAGACATATGCCACGTTTCTATATCTCTTTGAAATTCCACGCATATATAATATAGCATAAATATTCTTAAGGGCAGTTCGGATATTAAAAACTTGCTCAATTAAACTTACCACGTAAACTGGGTCTCTCATTACAATCATAATTACCGGCATGGAATCGTCAACGAGAGCTAACGGACCATGTTTCAATTCACCGGCCATAATTCCTTCGCTGTGCATGTAGGTCAATTCTTTTACTTTCTGTAAATATGTAAGAATTAGTCATGATAACATTAATTGCAAATTTATTATCGCTTCTTATCGCCCACTTACGAGTGCACCTTCCATGCACGTAGCAAAATTGTATCCGCGGCCCATGATCAATAGAGACTTGTGTTGAAACAAAGATTTGGCTAGCTCCTTAACTTTATCATCGAGCTTCAATACTTCGCGAATGAGATTATCGAGATTTTTCAATCCTTCGATAATCTGCGTAACAAAAATAAGCGTAAGATTTAATCACATTTTATTAAAAATAAAAAGTATAATACTCTAGACGTGAATTGTACCTGTAAGCGTCTCGCGCGAAGAGAAATTCTGTCCTCGCTCATTACCAGTGCAAACATTACAAGCGAAATAAATTGCGAGGTGTAAGCTTTAGTACTTGCTACACCGATCTCGGGACCAGCATTGATGTGCACTCCACAATGAGATTCACGACAGATACTACTACCGACTGTATTAGTTATACCCACGATAAGAGCTCCGCGACTTTTACAATAACGTAGTGCCATTAATGTGTCAGCTGTCTCGCCTATCATTACAAGAATAACAATAACTCAATTTTGTATTTGTGTGTATACAATCCAGTAATTTTTTTTCGCGTTAAAACGAAATTATTATTTGTCAAACTTAAATTTTCTTATTTACTTGTTTTTCATATTTACATTATATTTCTGCCTTACCTGATTGAGAAATAAAGAAGCAGACGTCGTCTCTAAATACTGGGGTATTACGATCCAAAAAATCGGATGCAAGCTCAACCATCACTGGCAATTCTGTCAGTTCCTCAAGGAGCTGTCGCGTAGCTATAGCAGAATGATAGCTCGTACCGCAACCGATTAGCATAAGACGTCTGCATCTTTTGATCTCAGGAATGTAATCCTATGCGAAAAAAGTAATCTTTTTAATATCAGACTCTTTTCCCCCGAAACACTTGCGAAAAATCGTTAGTAAGACGATACTTTAATTCCGCCTAAGGTGACTGAATTGTCTTGAAAATTCAAACGTCCTCTCATAGTATTCACCACCGACTCTGGTTGCTCAAAAATTTCCTTCTGCATGAAGTAGTCGTAATTGCCCTTCATGATTTGCTGAATCTCCATCTTCAGTGTCGTGATCTCACGAGCGTGAGGATCGTCCATGCAACGACGAAGACGATGGATACTTAGCGCGCC